TAGCTCTTTTTCATCATGTGCTTCCTGAAATTTGAGGCTTTTGGTCAAGAGCAATACAGTTCTGACTAATAAAAATGTCTTCAGAGATATGGCTCAAACTGTGCAAGAGCCTCCCAATTTGTATGCCCATGCCTGAACTCCTTAATTGAATTGCTTTAATTAATTACATGTCATCAGAAAGATATGGGCTTAGATGAAAGTGTATTTTACAGAATAAAAGGAAGCACTCAGGGACATCCATTCTGTCATTCTTTAGAAGTATCTGTGCCAATATCGACAGCTAATTTAAGTCAGTTTAAAGGAGGCTGGTCATGGCAAAGAATGCTCTCGAGACTTCAAAGAGCTGATCAGAAGTCATATAAAGATCAAACTCTGCCTCTGGGAAATTGAAGTGTTTTCAGTCTGCTGCCTTTGATAAGAATAAGTTTAAGGTGGATTTCATTAACATCACATAAAAAGAAGATATTTGGGGTATTGATTTTCTCCAACAATTCTTTCCTTGAATAAGTCCTATTCAGAGACTTGGTTCTATTATATCCCAAATAGCAGGTCTTCAGATCATGAAGTCAAGCATGGATTGAAAATGTCCAGCTATTGTGAAATATGACATTGACTAAAATGCTTTCAACGTGGAGGAAAACCTAACAGATATTCAACAATGAGGGCACACTGCAGGTTGTGTTCAGATTACTTTTAAAATTAGTTTTAAAATTCTATTGCAATAAATTTCGTCTGTGTAAAGATCATTTATTTGGAATCAACTAAAATTTTTGAGCATCAACTATGTGTGCCAAGGACTTACACACAAACCTTCAACATCGCATCATCCCTAACACATCTGAATCAGAGAAATTATGTCACTGGCCTAAGATCACACAGTAGGAAGAGAAAGCTGGGAATCTAACTCAGGTCTTTAAATTCCAAGTTCAAGTTTGTTACACACGTCCAACTGCCACACTAACGATAACAGATTTTTATTTATTTTAAGGAGATACAAAGATCTTTCACTTAGTGTTTAACATATGTAAAAGGACAGCATTTATAATCACTTAGCTCATCTAAAGGAAAATCCCTGTGATTCAGGTTAGCAGTGGTGGCTGTATTGTCTTACAAGAAGGACTGGTCCCATGAGAAGGGGAACACCAGGCAATGTTTGTGTGAGATACATTTCAAGGGATATTATGGAAGGTTCTAGTCTTCACTGTCCACTAGCAACTCTTTCGCTCCCATTTTTCTGTACTATTTTGAAATTCTATAATTTTAAATGCATTATTTTGAAGAATCATATTTCATACATTAAAATTTCTCCATTGGTTTCATGCTCATTAAATTAGAGTGACATAGAGGTTATCTTACAGTCCAACTTGGATAGATTGACTGTGTCTGCTTGGAGCTTCGTGATGGGTAGAATTCTGAAGTCACGTCCAAGTTCAATAGGCTCAGTTATCAATGTCAGTTAAGGGAGGCAATGGTACTAGTTCATCAGTAGTATTAGTAGTTAAGTAAAAACAGATTTTACTTGTCAAAGCTATACTAAGCCATGCAAGCACTAACACTTAAGTGTGAATTTATCTGATAACTTTCCTAATATCAGAAGGAGAGGCAGTAAAGAAAAGATAATTCTGAGGCTAGAGCTTGGATAACTACATAACTTATTGTGCATAGCAGAACTACTGAGAGCAAAAAAGGGGTCTATTAACAAAACTCCAAGACAGTATTAAATTGTGAAGGAGTGGTGTGGTCACTTTGAGTCTGGGAAAAGGCAGTCCCTCACTGACAAAAATATATATTAACTAGAGGCCCGATGCATGAAGTTTGTGCAAGAGTAGGCTTTCCTTCCCCTGGCTGCCAGCACCGGCTTCCCTCTGGCACCTGGGACCTGGGCTTCCCTCCGACCGCTGGCAGGCACCTGGGACCCGGGCTTCCTTCGCAGCCCTGGCTTTGTTCAGAAGGACGGACGTCAGGTCTAATTAGCATATTACGCTTTTATTATTATAGATGAGTTCCTCCTCCAAATAAGTCTACTAATGTCTCTTTCCTGATGCCAAAGCTTTCATAGCTATGAATTCCAGTGACCACATTTCTCCAGCAGCAAAGAGAAGCTGAAGCAATTGCATCTGGGTAGGATTCCTGAAAACCTTAACAATTCACCAGAAAGCAAATGAAAAAATGAAGTCAATTTGTAATTTTTCAAAGGCTGGTTATTTGACTCATGTAATATCTTCTGGACCCTTATTTTATTTCTTTCATCAGTTAAATTAGTAACATGTCAGTTCTGATAAGAAGATTCGATGGGAAAGAAGATGAAGCTATTGCATGAAATGAGTCTGGGGAATTACCAATGGATTTCAATTATCCATGTTACTCTTATTAAAGGTGATTAACTGTGAAGAGTGGTGATTCAGCTGGACAGCTTTTCTAAGATATAGCTGTCCTTGTTCCTTTTGCCTCTTTTGTACAGACCATACATTACATATGTATATGAACACATAGATCCTCACTTTCCTAGTCCCATTATCTGTGATTTACAAGATTATAAGAATTGACCCATAATCATTTAAATCAGCTTGCAGTAATAAAATAAGGGTAATGAATCGTTCAATGGTCTGTATCTTTTTATTGAGAGTATATGTTCTATATATAAAGAAGAAAATATTGTTGGCTACTGTTTCCAAAAGAAGTAAAACTATTAGAAACCGCATGGTGTATGATGAATGGCATATATGTCTACTAAACTGTCTTTTATTTTTTTAAAATATATTTTTATTGATTTCAGAGAGGAAGGGAAAGGGAGAGAGAGATAGAAACACCCATGATGAGAGAGAATCATTGATTGCTGCCTCCTGCACATCCCACACTGGGGATTGAGCTTGCAACCTGGGCATATGCCCTGACCAGGAATCAAACCATGACCTCCTGGTTCATAGGTCAAGGCTCAACCATTGAGCCACACCAACCAGGCTAAACTGTCTTTAAATGAAATTATTATGTAAGCCTAAGAGGATATTTGAAATGAAAGAAATACACTATGAAATATTTATATTATCAGTACATAAAAGTGTTGAGTTCTTCTGCATTGGTTTGTAGCAGCCCTTCCTAAATTTGGTTGAGTATTCTTTTCACTCATTCAAATCTTAATCATACTCCCAAGTCCAAACTGAGGTTTACTTTCCTGCTTAAGGTTGCTATCTATTGCAGGCCCACGGTCTGCCTATGTTCTTAGCTTTTAATGCCCATAATACTAGTTTTTTCACCTAATTTATACTATCTTGACTTATTGTGAGATAGTTATATAGTTATCATTTGAGTTTTGAATTTTGTTTGACTTTTCACATGAGAAGCACGTATGATCTCCAAAATTACTCTAAATGCTTCAATAGTGTGATTTGTGATCTAGCATTGCATCTCTGTCCAAGATCTTACAGAATTTTGACTGTATTTAGGTTGAACCATAGGAAATTGTCAAACATTTCATCAGTCTGACCTGAAAAAAAGGTAATTTCAGATGGTTCAACTTAATACTGGTTGTTCTAGAAATAATTGTGGAAAGTGTGAGTATATTTAAAACTTTTATATTTGTAGATATATTTGTAAATATATTATAAGAATAAAATATATATGTACTGGCCATGACTGGGTTGCTCAGTTGGTTAAGAGTGTTGTCCTGATATGCCAAGGTTGCAGGTTTGATCCTCAGTCAGGGCACAGGCAAGAATCAACCAATGAATGCATAAATAAGTGGAACAACAAATCAGTGTTTCTCTCTCTCTCTCTCTCTCTCTCTCTCTCAAATCAATTATATATACTGATGAAGTCCTTTAGAGTAAGTGATCGAGTTTTGGTTTTAATTTTTCAAGTTGACATCCAGTCCCAAGCAGTTCTTCCAGGAGTTCCCAGACCCGATTTTTAAATAAGTAAATGACTCTCTTTTTTTTCCAGGGGAATAACTGAATCTGAAATTAAGTTTCTGGGCCTTAAGTTGAATTGGCTGGAAAGATAAAGTTGTTAAAGTAGATGATTTTATGTTGTTTAAATGACAACTTTTTGCAAATGTCTCTGCAATATTTGTTTATCAGTTGTTTTTTAAATTTTTATTAAATTTATTGGGGTGACATTGGTTCACAAAATTATATAGGTTTCAAGTGTATAATTCTATAATACTTCATCTGTATATTGTATTGTGTGTTCACCACTCAAAGTCAAGTCTCCTTCCATCACCATTTACCACCCCTTTACCCTCTTCTACCTTCCCTACCCACCTTTCACTTTGGTAATCACCTTACTGTTGTCTGTGTCTACAAGTTTGTGTTTTTTTGCTTAATCCCTTCATTTTTTTTTACAGAGCCCCTCAGCCCCTTCCCCTCTGACAGCTGTCAGTCTGTTCTCTGTATCTATGAATCTGTTTCTATTTTGTTTATTTTGTTCATTAGATTCTGCATATAAGTGAAATCATATTTTGCTTGTCTTTCTCTGACTGGCTTATTTCACTTAGCATAATTCTCTCCAGGTCCATTCACTGTTGCAAACGTCTATAGTCTAAGACATGCAATGTTGTTTCTCCTAATAAATAAGCCAAGCACACCCTTCTCTTTAAGAAAATATCAAAAGGAGAAGGGCCATGCATTTTTCTTAGATACCAACTTAGGTGTCTAATATAGGGTGTGCCATTCAAAGCCTGTGAAGACTTTTCTGAATGGAGATCCAAGAAGCTGGTCCCCTTGGCTAAGTGTGGGAGGAGGGACTAAGAGGAGGTTGGAATTGAGGTGCCGTGGCCCTGGACGCTTATCATTTTCAAGTCACATCTTTCTGAACTGCTTGAGTTTTCTGATCATTTCCAAGAATTACATTTTTTAATGTCACTAGGGGTTATTGCAAACAAATTGTGGGGTATTCTGTTGCTTGTTTTGTTGTTTCTGCTTTAGAAAAAGTGCTTGAAAAGTCAAACTAAACTAGTGTTCAAGTTCAATCGGGGAGTAGAAGGTGGTGTTGGACAAGGTTACCTTCTTACAGGCCGTGATGGAGCTCCCCAGGCTGCTTCCTGAGCTGCCGCTGGCCCCGCCCGGCTGGGGTGCTGGAACCTCACACATCAGTGGTGACTCTGAGTTGCTGTTTGTGCCAAAACACAAAAGAGAACACATTCCAGTGAGCCCTCTTCATATGCAGAAAGGAAGAAGCACAATGGGGTTTATAAAAATCATTTCAGATTGGTGATTGGCTGCCCGCTGCAAATCCTCCTGCTGACATTTCTATGTTGGCTTCACTTTTGTAATTGGGAGACACTGTGAGCTATTCCATTGTGAATATAAAACTGCAGCCCAGTGCTTAGGTGGGTGCAATGCATCTGCCTGACTTCTGGCTCTGTTAATATCTTTCTAACAATTTTATTTAATTTTATTTTTTAAATTTATTTTTCAATTTCATTTGACGTTCAGTATTATTTTATATTAGTTTCAGGTGTATAGTGTAGTGGTTAGACAATCATACACTTTGCAGTGCTTTGCCTAATATTTTCAGTACCCACCTGGCACCATAAAGTTATTACTGACTATTATTGACTATATTTCCCACGACTATTTTGTAACTTCCAATTTTTACTTCTTTATCCCTTAATCTTTTTCACTCTCCCCCTAAACCAGGGGTGGGCAAACTTTTTGACTCGAGGGCCACAATGCGTTGTTAAACTGGACCGGAGGGCCGGAACAAAAGCATGGATGGAGTGTTTGTGTGAACTAATATAAATTCAAAGTAAACATCATTACATAAAAGGGTACGGTCTTTTTTTTTTTTAGTTTTATTCATTTCAAACGGGCCGGATCCGGCCCGCGGGCCATAGTTTGCCCACGGCTGCCCTAAACCCTCTCCTCTCTGGCAACCATCAGTCTGTTCTCTGCATGTAGGAGTCTATTTCTGTTTTGTTAACCTCTTTTCTAAGCAAGTGTTAAAACAATAATGTCTTTCTGTCTTTACTCATTTTATTTTTTAAATGAGGGGAACATATATAGTCAGAAGGAAGGATGATACCATGAAAAGAGCATGAACTTTCAAAAGTAACAGAAACATAGAGAAAAGGAAAAGATAACACATGGAAAATTTCTTGTTTTCCCACAAAGCACATTGTATATGACTTCAAGTGGACAAGGTGCTACGGTAATTGTTATATATAAAAATGTTTTAGAACTGCTGAGCTAGGCAGGTGCTAGGAAGAAAGGGTAAGTCTACTATTCACATATATCTTGGTATGAAAGTTCTTCTGTCTATAAGATGATTGTGAGATCCTGGTTGGAATGAAGGTGAGGAAGAGTGAGGAAGGGAATTTGAAAGTCTATTTGGCTTCAGTCACACAATGGGACTAAAATCAGTCTGTTACTTGGTAACAAATGTGATTCAATGCCATTGCACCAAAATTCAAAGTGAAAGCATCTTCTATTCTCCAGAAACACATTATAAATCAATTCAATGATGCCTGATATCCTAAACTATATGTAGATAAACTTATCTTTTAGACCATGGGTGTCAATTTCCAGTAGGTGACTTTACAACACAGCCCAGTCTGTTCCCACGCCTTTGGAATGAAGATGGAATTTTTAGAGTATTTGCAAAGACGCTTGCCTTAGTCTCCAGAGAAGCAGAACATTGGCTGCTACCGGATGAGGCAGAGATGGCAGCAACATGAAACTCGGGGATTCATTAAAATGAGTTCAAATTGACATTAAAAGAACTGCTGTCAAGACACCATACAGCCTCATAACTCGCTCCTAATGGGTAAGGCTGCAAGTTCTTCCCTGGGATATTTTCCTTTGGTTTTGACAAGTGTTGACAATATTTATTAAGCACATCCTTTCAGAGCAGTTTCATGCTAAAACTGCTAAATGGGTTTCAATCAGGAAGGAGATCAAGGTGGGGAAAAAAGACACAAAAGCAGAATTTGAAATATGGACTTTAGAAATATTATGGGAAGAGAGGCATGTTCTCTTACAGAAAAAAATGTCATTTCCCATGTGCTTGGGGGTAGGGGCGGGCTGGGAGAGGTCAATGGGGGAAAAAGGGAGGCATACGTAATAATGAAGAAGAAAGAATTAAAAATTAAACAATAAAGAATTAAAAAAAAGAAAATGTCATTTCTGAGTAAGGCGCCACGTTGCCACTGTGCTGCAATCATTAATGATCCTTGCAGTGTGACTAAGTAGGTCACCATCAGTAATGACAACGGCTTATGCTATAGTCAGCTGTTTCTCCAGAGAACCATCCAGTGCCTGGAAATTGAGTTCTCTGTGTGCTGTAACTCAAAGTTTGGTCTGTGAACCAGGAGGACTGACATCACCTGGGAGCTTGTTAGCCACCCAGGAACTCAAGTCCCTCCCTGGTACTACTGAATCAGAATCTGCATTTTGACATTAAACTCAGGTAACTCATAGACCCATTACAGCTTAAGAAGCACTTTTCTGACATACTGAATTAAATACTGTACACATTCTCATTTGCCCTTGGGGCTTTGCACTCGATGTTCCTTCTTTTAGGAATACCCTTCCCAATCCCCCTCCTTTCTCCTGGATAATTCCTCCTCTATCCACTTGTATCACCTCTTGTACCTTCCTCCTTCCCTCCCTCTGTCAAAGAGGCTGCTCCTCCTCTACCACCTTTCTCCATTGCTTCATGCACACACTCACACCCTCACATCTCCATGCCCATATCTCCACCCTCACTTCATCCCAAGAAGTGAGATGGCCACTTTTCTTGTATGTTACAACAGCACATACAAGACCCATGCCTTGCTGTAGCACTTGTCAAAATGGCATATAATTTTGTAATATTTGTCCTTTCCTTTAGGCTATAAGTAGTGAAAGAGAGGGGACCCTCTATGACCTAGAATAGCACTAGCTAGTGATGGATGTTCAAGTAGTATTTATTAGTGTTGTTTGTTCTTATTTTTCTGAGCATCCTGGTTGGCTTGAAAGGATTATGTACAAAAGGGTGCTTGAATTCAATGTTAAATTTTCTGCAGTGGTAACAGATGGTGGGATAAGCCACATCTAAAGAGATAATTTAGAGAATTTCCCTGGATAGTTCTAAAGAAAAGGGATCCTGCTGCTGTTGTTTGTTACTAACATATTAAGTAAACATAGTGTGAAGTTTAATGATTTTAACAGATTTTTAAAAATAAGATTTGCAATTGCCCTTATCTTCTCCCCCTCTTAAAAATGCTTTTAGTAAACTGTAGTAATTGCCATTGGTTGGATTGTCTCAGTTCTATTAAGGATATTTATTCTTGAGCTTTCTTCTAAATCCTTTCATCTCAGTACTGGGGGAAAAAATTCACATCTATCAGAAGAGATCTTGAGTAAGGAATTGAGTTGTTCTGGTTAAAATTAATTTAATGATACACCCCAAGAAGAATTTAGAGGATTTTAAAATACAACTTTGCTTGATTCAAAATAAAAGTTTGCTAAAGTGAATGTTCTTATTTTATCCTCAGCCAAAAAGATTAACTTGTTACATTACAGAAAACAAACAAAACAAAACAAAACAAAACAAAACACAGTGGTTTGGGTCAGTCTTTCAAAATGTGATTTGTTTTTAAAATCACATGATGTGTTAGTTTCTCTAATGTTCAAATTCTGACCAATCTATTGGCAAAAACTCCCTCCTAACTTTAGTTTGGCTACTCTGAGCCTTCTTTTAAACAAATCTTGAATTGCCCTATCCTTGATATTTTCTCTTACAAATTTTCCATTCACTAACCCCTTCACTCTGCCCACTGGCTATAAATCCCCATTTTCTCCCTGTTGTATTTGAAGTAGAGCTCAGTTCTACACTGACATCTCTCTCTCCTACTGCAGTAGCTCAAATAAAATCTGTCTTACATTTTTGACAAGTGATTGGTGGAAAAGTTTTCTTTTATACTCTTCTGTTCCTTCTCTAGTTTTATCTCCTAGATAAGAAGTAAGAATTTTACTCTTTTTTTTTACTTCTATACTTATATATTTCTTGTCTAGTTTTGAGACATCATATCATGATTTTCTTATCATGTCATCTGTTGAAATTAAATATGTCACCAGTTCATTTGTGGCTGAAAGACCAATAAAGTCCTCATTAATTCTATAGAATTTTAGTAAACTTTTCCAAGGAAACAACTATCCAAACCTTGAAGATATTTAGAAACCATTGTTATATGCATTGTTTCAACATTTAAAGGCAGCTGAATAATTATAGATTGCAATTTTCAAGCTTTTTAAAAAATCTCTTGGACTAGTAAAATAGCAACAACAACAATAACATAATAAGGTGGCCAACCTTTCATTTGCCAAAAATAAGGACAATTTAAAAAACCCCTTGCTACCTCTGTTCTCACCATAATTCTTCAAAGAAAGGACATTGTAACAATGCAACAGAAACTATGATATTTTATCTAAAAATGAAGGCTATTTCTTTTTAAGAAAAGGTTGTTGACATCTTCGCTATTATTTTTGCTCTCAAATCATGAATATGTTGTTGAAGACCTAAGTTTGTGTACTTTTTGTGAGGCATTATTAAATGACAATAAAGAGAGTATAAAAGGTCATTCATTATTAACCACAAACTAGCTCACTCTTAGCAGAAAGATTGGCCTCAAATGAATTACACTCTAATTCAATCTTTATTGTTAAAAAAAAGACATGATTATAACATTGTTACTTCATTTGGGACATAATTAGTAAACACCAATGGCAGGTAATTTCCTATTTTCAGTACTTACTAGTAATGTACTGAAATCTTTTATCCTGAAAAATTATATTGATTACTGTTCAGTGGAGACTTTTTCATTCAGGCAACTATCAGATATATCAGATATGTCCAGTGAAACATAAGAAAAGAGTTGTACTATAGAACACTGTTAATACCAACAAAGTAATATGTAACATATGTAAAGTAAATATATACTTATAAAATGAACTGTATTGAACAATCTTCTGTACTTCAGATGCTATGCTTTGTGAATCTATATACCTCTGAGTAAAGAGGAGATGGCAAGTCATGCTTTCATGCATTTAATCACTTACTATCAATTTTATTGTCCTTGGACCTTTAAAAGCTATTCATAGTCTCAGTCTTCACCAAGACCTTGAGAAATAATTTTGAAACGAAAACTCATTGTTCAGAAAAGAGAATCAAGTAAGAGAACATGCTAGCTTAGCTTTTACATTTTTTTCCTTTTTTTAATAAGGGCTATGAAAAAATCTTTAAGACTTTCATTCTATAAATGTGTAGATGCAAATATATTATTTTACTATAAGGGAAAAATATATACATCACTGTTGCTAAGTTCATGTTGCAAAATATATGTTTATCCATGAAGGCTGTTAGATGCTTACTATTGAATTATTTATCCCTAAGGTGCTTTACTTAATTTTTAAAAAGTTTTAGGTGTATATTTGTTTGGATGGTCAAAACTCATTATGTCCCGCATTCTGCTGCATCTAGGCTTTAATACAGAATATGTTCCAGTAACTACCTCAGCTTCCAATGGTTTCTGTTCTTTCACCAAAATACCTAGGGAAGTGCTTCACTCTGGTATACAATCTTCTTTATAGTATTTCTAACAAAAATGAGCACGGTTTAATGCATAGCAAGTGTCTAGAACTCTATAAAGTATTTTGCATAGTCACTTAACTATACTCCTTTTTATAAAAGAGAAATCAAGGATTAGAGGTTAATACAGAGTCCAAAGTTTTATCACTGGTAGATAACAGATCTGAGATTTGACCTACTTCTCAATGCTATACCATGTTATTTTCCACTGTAGCCTCTAACATTCCTTCTAATTCTTTGTTTCTATGACAATGACATGAGTTTTTTTCTTCTAAAAAAATGTAAACCAGGCTATCCTGGGTAGTAATGGGTGGACTTAAGGCCCCTTTAAATTCAACATCTTTGTGAGTCTGTTACACTCGTTTTTAGTCCAAGTGCTGGCCTGGAAAATACCTGATTATGCGACCTCTAAATAGCAACTATCCCTGACATTTTAAATATATGTTAACTAAGTGCCTTCACATGGGGTCCAAGCCCAACTGAACCTGACTGAAGTCTGTGCTCTTTGCCAGGTGACGTGCTATCTTCACATAGTGCCACCTGCTTTTGTCACGTGCTAACTCCTAAAGAACTGTTTGGGGCTCAGAGGAGAGCAATGCAGACAAAGGGTGAGGGTTAGCAGGAAGAGATGTCTGGCTGCTGCACCAGCTTGGATGGTCACTCCTTTGCAAGAAGAGGGGACTTGAGTCATTGAGAAGCGTCACCAGAAGTGCTGCCAGGACTAGGCCTTCATGAAAGAAATAGAAAATCATCCTCCATTTGTGATTTCTGGGATGAGGATAGCTCTGCCTAACTAAGAATTTCTGTCTGAGCTTCGTACTGAATTCCCTATTAATGGTTTTAGGGTCTTTTAAACTAGAAGAGGATAGCAGGACCAGAAGGGATAGGACACAGAAAGAGTACTTTTTGATGGCAAAAATAGCTAAGGTGCACAGCAGAGTTTGCATTCTGGTGGAAGTGATACCGTAAACCAGGAAGCCTGCAAAAGCAGGGTAAAATATTTGAGGCTTGGGTACCCAGGGGGCTCACGGTATGCCGGAATAAAAAAGGAGGCCCTGGTCTTGACTTGGATGTACTAGTATTAATCCCCTGTACCCCACACCCTACAACCAACCTGGATTCCTGGGAGTGGTTCCTGGCGGGCAAGGCAGCAGAGAGGCAGGTGGGTGAGTTTGGCTCAACTACCCACATGGCTGATGGAGAGGGCCACACCCATAATAAAGGAGTTACAAACACCAGCAGATGTGGAGAGGAAGCAGGAGAGGAGGAGAGGAGAGCGGTGGGAAAAAAAAGAAACAGACGTTTTAGTATCATTCAAAGAGAAAGATACACTCACAGCAGGCCTGCCTTTAAAAAGAACAATAGTAGCTAGATAATAAGGTTGTAACAATTAAAAAATATCTGATAAGGGTTCAAAGATTGCATGCATATTTTCAGATAGCATCTCCCATGGGTAATAGGCTGGATTTTTGCCTTAGATGGAGCTTCACATCTTTGATGCATCAAAGGTAATTTACATCTTGTAGATAATAATTGTAGACCTTTCCAACCTGGTTCATGAGTATTGACAAATAAAAAGCACACTTTGTGCTTCTCAAGCTTAATATATTTAATATTAAAATTAATATGAGGAGTAGAGCAGGACAACAGATTTTATGGACATTTATTTCAGTTTCTCTAAGTGCCCCGTAAGTCAGGTTCTATACAATACTTACCTTAGGCATGCTCTAGTCCTTTTTTCAATGCAAGTCAATAGTGTATTACCTCAAATCAATTTCAAAGCTACTATAACTATGAAAAATAAACAATAATATCAGTATCTATAGGAGAAAGTAAGCAAGGAGTCAGGGAAGTTTTCTTTGTATGTGCATTGCTGGTAGTTACTGGTCCCTCATTAGAACTCAAGAAAATGTTACTGTGTGGATGAAGATGCCAGAGAGGAACTAGACATCAGAGGTAACATAGGAGGTACCTGGTATGAGTGCATGGGGTACAGAACCAGGTGAGAAAGAGCAACCACCTGTGGTCACATAAAATTTCCAATCTTCGTCGTTCACTTGGGTCTATAACTTTTTGGGGGTTAGGTCTTGTATACTTTCTTTAAATTTAGTCCTAGAAAATTCATATTTCTTGATAACATGTAAATGATTTTTTAAAAGTTCACTTTTTATTTTTGGCTCATATAAAGAAATATAGTTTATGAGTGTGCTTTGATTGATAGCTGACATGCTAAACTCAGTTATTAATTCTGATAGTTTATCTGCAGATTCTTTGAATTTTATATGTACACAAGCAAATAAACTGCAAATGCTGAGAGTTTGGGTTTCTTGTCCCATTTAGATCAACTGATTTTTGTCAATGTTTGAGTGGATTAGAAGTTACCCTTTCTTTCCCAGTTCCTTTAGTAGTTATCCCAGAAAATAGAATATCTATATTTACTTTAATACATTCTAAAATTAATCAACATATTTATCCTCCTACTGGTCAATACAAAACTCTTAGAACACTTTATATCCAACTAACTCCTTTCAACTTGTATTGTTGCCTTGTACTAATAATTTTGAACAATCATAGGGCATTACTAATATTGTTTTATAAAGTAAATATTTGCTTAGGTTTACTAAATAGATAAAACTTCCTTTCTTCTTTACTTCCTTCTGCCTGAAGTCAATATTTTCTTTAGCAAGAAGTGATACTCCAGTTTTTGTTTCTAAGAAAGTATCTTTATTCTTGGGAGTTATTTTCACTGAGCATAGAATTCTAAACTGGCAATTGTTTTCCTTCACTCATTGAAGATATCACTTCATTATCTTTGAAATCCCATTTTTGCTTTTGTGAAGTCAGCTGCCAATCTAATTTTTAGTTTGTAAT